TTCAAAACATTCATCTAGCCAGGCTGAACATTGCAAAGGTAAAAGTACTGATGCTCTATTTTCTTTTCCATCTGACTGCTCTCTTTACTTAACAAAACAATGCAGGATCAAGAATCTTTGGCTAACTTGAGCTCCATTATCATATAAATTAAGAAGTCTAACTTTTCACCCCTTACTGAAACAGCTGTGAGAAGAGTGTTCAGTTCAGATATTCCAGCTGAGTCTTAACTCTTAAGTTAAGCACAGATGCAAATGGACAAAAGACTGCATACTCTAGAGGAAAAGAATGCTTCATCAATAATAATTGGGATGTTATTCAGGGAGAAATGCAGGTTCCTTCCTCTGTGTGCACTTTATACATATTTACCCTAATGTCAAGTATATGTTCTTACCTGAAAAACAGAGAAAAATTGAAGGAAGGGGATGGAACTGAAGTTGGCTTTCTAATACCTTCCCTGGTGCTTGCAACAGGAAACTAAAATCCATTACTGAAGGGAAAGTGCCACCACAGAGTGGACATAGGAGAGCTACAATGCTTTAAATGCTTTTTCATTCTTTGATGAGAGTGGGTTTTTTTTTTATTTTAGGTAAGTTTTCTCTTAATACTGTGGTCCAGAAAAAAGGTAAGTGTTCTAGAGCCAATGTGTGGAATGAACACTGTGTTTACAATACTGTTTCCATCCCAAAAAAAGAGGTGGGGAGGGGATCAAGAGTGACAGTGTTTCATGAGAAAATGTATAAACCAGACAGCTTTTTTCTTTTTTCTTTCTTTCTTTTCTAAGACTAATTGAATTTTTGAAAGTCTGGCTCTGTGGAAGCCTGTTACATTCCTGAAAATTATAGGTAAGAGTTTCTGCATCCCATCCCTGAATGTGAACGAGCATGTTTATTTGCTACCCGAAATCCCACTGAATATTCAGCACCAACACCACGAAGGAGCACTCATTTCCCAGGCTGCTCTGAGCCCTGAGCCTGGAGCTCTTTCCTGTAGCCTACAAACAAATCCTCCCATTCCCTGAAGATGCTCCCATGTCTGTTTTCCCTGGGCAGGCAGGGGGTGGGAGCAGAAGAGGCTCTGGCTGTCGCCCAAAGCCAGGATCCACTCACGCCTGGACCTTGGGCAGACAAGGCTGTGCTGGGAAGGGCTGGGCAGGAGCAGGGCTGGCAGTGCTGGCACCACAGAGCCCTCCAGCAGGAGCAAACTCCACATTCAGTTCTGCCTAAAAAGGAGCATTTGCTCTCTCCCCACACCCAGCCCTGGCCCGGCTGCCCTAAGTCAGAATAACTTAAATTATTCTGCTGAGAACCTGGTTTGCCCTTCAGCTCTCTACAAATGAAGTGCAAGGGATAAGGACAGCAATTCTTCTGGAGTCTGTTTCTTTGTTTTGTTAAAGTTGAGAGATTAAACAAGATTCCAAGAACACCGTTCAGCATCTTTAAGTGACATCCTCAGAGTGGAAAGATTCCATCTGAAAACATCTGAGCCTTGCAGGAAGACAGCAAAGTGGTTCTTCAATAAATAATTTCAAGATAAATATAGACTGGGGTACTGATCCTGTGAGAGCAATTTTTATTTGGAGTTATTGAGACAGCTGCCTTGCTCGTGAGATTAAAAGCTCCAAACATCTCAGAGTAATTTCTTATCTCTGCTTCTAAGAACTGTCTGTATTTGGTACAAGTGGTGTCAGATGAACCTAGCAAGATGCAGTTAGCAATAATTGGGGTGTATGGCACAGGGGGACTTTTTCCCTAAGGGTCATTTAATGGGAATTTTTTATATTGAAATTCATGTACTATGATTTAAAAAACAAAAGGTAGGAATTCAAGTTTATTCAGCATAAGCTAATAGATGGGTAAAATTATTTGGTTCCATGCATGTTTCCAGCCACAGTGCTGACCTTAAGAGAGGTCAGGACTATGAATAGCAACATAAAAGAGTGGTAGAGTGAACTGCTAAAAATTCAGTCCCTGCAATCATCAGCATCAAACATCTCCTCTTCCCACATAAAAGAAATATGTGTAGCAATATGAAATACCATTACAGCAAATTTTAATTGTTTCCATCTAAAGTTATCATTTGAGAATAGATATTTGCCAGCTAAAGAAAAATTGTTCTGACTTTTTAAAAATACTTGTATTTCTTTTGGTGCTAGTAAAGTTTATACTAACAGATGTGATCATCATTGCAGCCATTCAATTGAGAAGAATATTTGACATAAAAATGAAGGATAGAAAGTTCTGAACCAAATATATAGCTATATTTTCAGATCTAGGTTGGAATTAAAAAAAATCAGGCAGATGTAGACATATATAAACTGAAACAATAGATTATATCAAAACATTGCCTGTCAATCTCCTGCTCTACTTTGCCAGTACAGAAACATGTTCACATGCTGATAACGACTGCTTGGAAAAGCTACAAAACACAGTGTTTGCCTTGATATTGTTCTTGGGTTTTTCATCATTTCATAAACAAATGAAAAGAAAGAGTTATTATTATTACCAGTGAACTTGCAAAGGAATATTTACCTTTTAAGACTGGTTGAGAAAGTGTAATTTTATCTGCTTTTTCCTCTGATATTACAATGGACAATGGCAATTACACCAAAAAGACAAACAAAAAAACCCCAAAAACTACAGTAGTAGTCTGGTGTATCTGTGAGACTCACAGAAATAAAAGTTATAACCCAAATAATTGAATACTTTTGATGAGTTCCAAAACACAGCTAAATATTCTGATAGCTCTGGACCAATTTTGGAATGTGCACATGAACAACATTTGAGGACATCTTTTTTCTATGGGCCTGACTTAAGAGCTCTGAATTCAAGAGAAACTTCTCCATATATATATATGGCAGAAGTTAATTGAGTGAGTTTTGATGAGGCCCCCAGGTAAATTTGCTGTGTCAGTCCAATCACACAGTATCACATCTTACAACAGTATCAGATATTTCAGAAAGCTGTTTTTAACTGGGTTCAGGAGCATGATAACTGAATTACTCATGTAGGATTAAGTGGCTGTCCACCTCCTTGGACAATCTCTACTTTGTACTCTGAGCTGTACTGGGGACAATGGAACTTTTGTGCCTTCTAGTGTTTAGGCAAATAAATTTTTAACTTCATTACAGTGTCTAGAAAAATGATATAAGAACATATGAGGTCACATGTAAGAAAGAAATGAATATTGGGCAAGTCATGGTTTACACAAATGCACCCAACTATTACATGCTACCTATCTCAGTTTTTTTTTTAAGCTCTGGCCTTTCAAGGAAAGAACAAGAACTACCTTAGAAATATAACCAACTAGAAAAAAGTTCATAATTAATTATGTCCCCAGATATCGCATATGTTATTCAGTTTATAGACAAAGGACAAAGTTATTCTCTAAATAAATAAATAAATAAATAAATAAATAAATCATCTCCCTAATCAGAAATTATATCAACATTTACTCTGAAAAACAAAATGTGAACTTTTATTTCGTTATTTTGAAAAATCAAGCTCTGTTCTTAAAATCTGGGCATCATCTGGGTGGCATAAAAACATTTTGATCAATTAAATTAAAATAAATCTGATATTAAGTAACATATGGGTGTGGGGTAATCTGCATTTTGATCAGTTGCAGAATGACAGAAAGGTTAACTGTGGGATTCATTCCAGACAGGACATCTGGGCAATACATTTGAATCTTTGGTCTGCATGTAGAACTTGCACAGATTTCATGTGGCTCATTTGACGTACACAGAAAAAGGGCTTGTTTAGAAAGTTGCACCACAATTCACAAATGAGGGACTTCAACATTAAATTCATGCCCACATAGCAACCAAATGATATTTAGATACCTGCAGTGGTAAATATCAAATCTATAAAAGAAGAAGCCCATGAAGAATAATTTCTGTAGGACATAGATAAAGTGCAAAGAACTCTTGGGAGTAACACAATGGAGTAAAGATCAGCATAACAACATCAAAAATCATTTTGTCTTGGTAAAAATAAAGAGCCCCAGCACTGACACACTCCAAAGGGTGTTTTCAGAGCTGTGTTCTCTAATTCCTGCTCAGAGACAACCTGAGCACAAGTGAAGTACCACACTGGGTGTTGAGCAGAGTTCAGTGTTCAGCTGAAACTTTACTGTTCCTTTTCTTTAGTGAGAATAGAAACTACTTAAAGAAAGAATAAGCCTGCTCCAGCCACAGGCCAGGCTCGGGACAGGAGGACAAACCACTCTGAGACAGGAAGCCTTAGCAAGGAAGAAGCTGTAAAATAACAGACATGGCTCATTTTAACAGGCTTTTCCCTCTACAAGAACCACAGGGCTTTTCAGCCATCATATTTCATCATTTCACATGGCAGAAATAATTTTACCTCAGCTCCTAAAATTCCCTGCACAGAACGACTGAAAAAAACTGTCAGGAAATAAACGAAACTTCAAGCTACAGATTCATACTGCAATCTCTCTTCAAATAAAATTTGCACTGTAGTCACCATAATGGGTTTTTTTGCCTAAAAATTCTAGCAGGATGAAACTAATCTGAACATTTTCACAGAACATTCTTGAATGAATACATTATTACATCGACAGACCTATTTGGAATGTTAAATTATTTTATTCTTATAGTATTACATTTGTTTGGAGATTTTGCTTCAATTTTTGTGTTACTTTGAGTTAAGAATGCAATCTCTTCCTCCGTAAATTTTGTTAACAGAATGATAGTTCAATTTAAAGTGGTTGAAATATTTTACTTAAAATAATTACCAAACTTTATTAACAGTATATTTTCAGTGACTCCTGCAATTTCCCATTAAGTTTATTCAACCAAATTGACTGGGAGATTATTTCTTTCTTTCTGTGGAGTCACACAAAACTCTTTGAAATGGCATGAGCAGAATAATTAATACATTTTAATAATGGAATGCATTGTAGTAGGAAAAGATCATTATAGCACATTGTCACCCACTGCATCCCAGCTCTCCACTGTTTTGTTACTTTCATTTCTTACCTCTTTGTTGGCTCTGTCTGCTTGAACTAATGTTCCATTCAGACACGGCTCTACATAGTGGAGTTCTTCATTATACTACAGAGGGAAATACAAAGTATGATGAAAAATTTAATTAAAAGCTTGGAAGATACAAGTCAATTTAATGACTTAGAACTACAGTGAATGAAATATGCACAGAAAGCAAGAACAAAAGGATTTTGTTCATTTTTAAAAACTGGCTGAGGTATTTCTTTTCCTTTTACATGATTCTTAATTTTCAGAGGTTTATACTTCTAAAGGAGCATTGAATGGATGCCAAAACTCAGGTGGACTTAAGGGTACTATAAACCACTAGCTGGCAAAAATATCCCTCAAATTGAAATCTGGATAATATTAAGAGATCATGTTTGATACATCACAAACTGAGGTCATAATTAACTGATAATTCTTTTCTAGATGTAAGAAAAGTCCTGAAAAATACTTATGGCACTGTCTAACATTTTAAAAGGTTAATACTGGAACAACTACACCCAAAAAAAAATCTGTAAATTGAATCAATCCTGTAAATGACTGACAATTTTCAAAATTCCAGTCAAGCATTATATTATTATATATTATTATATATTATATAATATATTTTATATATATATTATAATTATTATGTTATTATACACAAAGTCATGAATATGTGACAGATCTTGAAGGAATTATCTGTTTTTCTCACAAGGTGTAGGTAAGCTACATAGCCTAGTCCTACATTCAGAAGCATCCTAAGCATGAAAAAAAAATGAAAACTCCTCTGCAATCAGTAGAACTTGTAATGAATGATTGATTGAAATTTGAAATTTGAGCTTGTTTCAATGTTTTAAACCTTTCAACACAGGTCACATTAATAAAGCAGTACCTCTCACCAAATTTTCTAGAGAGAGTCTTAACTGAATTCCCTCTCCCACTAATTTAATCTCCTTTAGAAGTAGCTAACTTGATAAGTTATCACAGATCAAACTGTAAGGACTTTGCATCTAGGCTTCAGGTGGTTTCATCTGTCATAAAGGATTAAGTGAATCAGAACATCCACAGTAAACAACATAAAAACAATCAGGGAAAGCATTTCATTGATCAATGTGAGCATTTACTCTGTTCTTCCTCCACCTCAGTGGGAATGAAGAGAGCCCTCCAGTGAGTGGCTGGTAACACAAAGCTGCTTAGGCAGGGGTCTCTGTCACTGGGAGTTCTCTCTGTCTGCCTGTAGCTCCAAATGTGCTCTACTCCCTTCAGCTTAGCAGCACTGCTGTGTGCAGCACAGAGCCTGGAAGCTGAGCCCCCTGGACACCTGTCGTCACCATTCACTCCTGCAGTGCTCTGCTCACCACGTTCATCACCACATAATTACTCCTGCACAGGGAAGAGTGTTTAATGTGAACTGCATGGAGGCACTGGGCCAGACTCAGTCCTCACCTAGAAGGGAATATAAACCCAGAGTAACTTGCTATTGCTGGATATACAGATGATTTATATCAGCATCAGCACAGGAAATGGTTATACAGAAACAAGCAAAAAATACTTTAATGACATATACACATAATTTCTGCAGCAGATTTGCATGCTACCTAATTGTTTTATTGCCATCAATGTTATTTCAATGTGTGAGATTGTATGGACTTTTCTGTTGTTCCATAGGTAATACAAAGTATAAGGCAAAGGCTTCTAGAAGAGTTCAGAGTCACTGAGAGTGTCCCATGTGCATCTCAGCCTCATAACAGTTTATTGATCTGATAAATGATGTACTTGCCCCTGTAGTTGCTCTTTTCAGACTGCTTTCCAGTCTATCTCCTGAGGGTCATTGCAAAATAATAATGCCAAATCTACACAGCATCTCATTATAATCCAAAGTCAAGACCATACTCCATTCTATTCTAAAAAATAAAATAGTGAAAATCTGTGACACTCTGGTGCACCAGCCCCTACTCCCAAGCTTTTCTCTGGTCATACACAGGTTTTTCTCAATATTTCTTTAATTAAGATACTTTAAAGTTCAGCCTGTTCTTAGTTTTATCTCTGTAGCTGTCATTGGAAACCACAAAAGCATACATATTTATCTTTATATCATACCAGGCACGGTGTCTGCAACTGGCCAACATGCAATAAAATGCTAAAGGCTCAAACACTTGCATGTAACAAACTCAAGCTTTCCTAATTTTTTAGAAATACCTTTTTTAAAAAAAGTCTATAAGCACCAGCAAATAAATGAAAAAACTTCCCACTCTATCAAGCCTTGCATCTAAACAGTTGCAATTTCTGTCCACTAGGTTTCTGTAAGATTTAACAACTATTTTGAGTAACTGATGCCATCAGGCTATTCACAGAGCCTGCAGCTGCCCCACAGCCCAGAGAGATTCCCTGCAGTTTCCCTCTGAGCCCCCAGTGTCCCAGAGTTGTGCAGGATAAAGCAGAGGACATGCTTCAAGTCCCTTCACAGCTCCCTTTCATAGAACCAACCTGCTTCAGAAAAGGGCAATTAAAAGCTTTCATTCTCACATAGAGAGCACAGTCTCATAGAAAACATAGATATTGATCCTTCTGAAACCCAGACAAATTGTGTCACTATTTCCAGTTGTGGCATCTAGTTCAGCTTGAGATTATTACTACCAAAAAGATGTTAAGCAAGGTAATACACTATATATATATATGGTATGCTATATATATATGGCAGAAGTAGCTGGATGGTGCCAACATGTGAAAAGGATTGTATTATGTAATGGTGTTCTAAGATAACAAGATATTGGAAGTGGTCTCTGTGTTGTGCATCTACTGTACAGGTATAAATGAAAGCACACTAAGAAAAATCTTTATATAAAATGTGTATAAGTTTCTTAAGGTTTGAATTCTTACAAGGGGGCATTTTAATGATCTATTATGATTTTTATGTCTTCACTAATTGGATACACTTTCTAATATTTTTTTTTAAATCTCAAATATAAAGAGATTGAAAAATTCACCGGACAGAATTATTTCAGTTCCTAATGAAATTCCCAAAAGAGCATCTGCCTAAGTCCTCAAAAACTGGACACCTGATATAACATGCATCACTGAAACAATAACAATTGAAACAATAACATTGAAACGCTGCATTCAAGCAGTGTTTGCTACTTAAACTTGCATATCTGCCTGCTAAGATCCTCAGTACAGCTGCAACTTTCTAGTACAGCACCTAACTTGTGCTTCCTAGCATATATCTGATTTCTTTGCCCTTGTCATGGGGTGTTTTACAGTGATATTGGTGATGCCTTTCTTTTAATTGTGACAAATCTTTAAAGTGCAAAAAGAAAAGAAATTCACCCCTCCTCCACCTGCTCACTACCTCATCAGTAATTTGGCCTTAGTCCTGCATTTCTTCTGACATTTGAAATTTCCTATTTAGTGAAATAACTTCCTGATCTGATTCACAACTGCTGACTTCCCCAGTAAAGATGTCTTGTTAATTTACCTCAGTGAAAGCCTGCATTTGGCTTTTCTAGAGTTCTTGCATCACGGTGTTTTCCCACATTTCCCAGTGTTACACATCCCAGTGCTCCATGCCCTGGCATGTGACACCTTTGCACATTCCAGCAGTAACAGCAGCAGCTGGGAGAGCTGATACCTGCACAATAGCTGGGAATAGCCTGGGTTTTGCTGAGGGGAGGGATGTAAAAATTAATTACCTTCCTTTCTGACCTCCTCTTTGTAAACCCTGGGTTACTCTTGTAATTTAAACATGTAATTACACTGATATTTATTATTTTATTTATGTATAGTTATCTGTCTTATTTACTTCACATTATTTTGTCCCTCTTCTTATTTCTGTGCAAAATAGGCATAAAAATGTAAGCAGGCTAAAACGTGGACTAAGAGAAGCCATATAATTATTTAGAGAGCTGTAGTCATACATTCTATAATAAGATACAATTCATATTCTATAAATTATATATATACATATATATATAGGGTTTTAGCACACCTACACAAGTAGTATCCATCTTCCTTAGCATTTTCCATATTTCTTCCCTGTCACATTTAAACTGCCTGGCACAAGGTCCACAGAAATAAATTAAATTTCCATTTTGTGGTGCAACAATACACAGATAAAAGATTCAAATTATATTAAAGTATATTCAGCTATCCAATTCAGCCCAGCCTAAGAAGCCAATCCAGAAAAGGAACAAAAGGAATTGGTGTTTCCATAGTTTACTGTACCAAACAAGTGGCACACAGGCACAGGCCACTGCTTGGAGGCTTCATATGGAGGTGCATTTTGGCAGCCTCTCTTTGTCAGCCAGCTCACACATCAGCTCTACAGAATCTGATTATTCAGGCAGGCTGAAAAGTAAATTTCTCCATGGTCTCTTCTGTAGGAATATAAAAAAAAGGAGACTATTTATATTGGAAAATTCTACATATTAATACTGGGAGCTATACTACTGTGCTTTGAATTAAAAAATACTTTTATTCTAATCAATTTTGCTAAAAGGGTGTGTCTAAAGCAGTAAAGTTAATTTAACATTCTTGGCTCAGTTAATATTTTGCTAATTCAGTGTAGAGTTTGTATAAAAGCATTTTTAAAATTTCAGCATTTGACAAAATTAGTACTCGTTTTATGATAATGTTGTTAATTTAATGCTTGACTTGGAATTATACTTCAAAGTGAATTGGAAAAACATGCCTTTTCTCTTGTTGCTGCAGATATCTCTGTTCATGCACCAGTGAACTGACCTTAAATTTTAACATAGGCAGCACAAAATCGCTCTTGTATTTCGATAATTTTTTCTGCAATTCAATCATCTAGTCCATCAATTTCAGATGGATATTGCAACAACCTACCCATGAAAGCTAAAATGATCTTTAACATTATCCTTTTATGTTTATTTTCTGGAAAGACCTGCAGTGAATTCTGCTTTCTGATATATATACATTTATATCTATCTATATGTATGCAGAAATGCATGCAAGTATTCATTCTGTTAATCACTGTGCTTAATAAAGCCATCCTGGCAGTCATGGTCATTCAAGTTCAAAGTTTTGCTTCATCTACTAAGTACAGGCAGTTTTTCTACACTACTAAAGCTCTTATTCCACCTCAGATTTTGGGCTGAGGAGAGAGGGCGTACTTGGCCATTTTTCTGAGACTTCCAGATGCCCAGGATGTCACAGAGCAACAATTTGGAGTGGCCTCCCAGAGCAGTCAGTCTGAGCAGGGCTCAGCTGTGTGAAGGTTCAGTCTCCACCATCAGGGCACAGCAGATCCATTTTTGCACACACTGCACAGCTCTGGAGACAGAGGGGATCTGCTGGTACAGAGGGGATTTCTTGGACTGACATATGTGTATCCTACCTTCAAATGAAACTGCTGTCACATCAGCAGGCTGTGCCTGAATTACAAAGAGTCAGATACAATCTCACTCAAGCATTTGTCTGTAGATAAAAGCTGTATGGGATTTTCAGGGCTTTCACAAGCAGCCTCTTGTGTGGGCTTCGTTGTCTCATGTTTTGATCACTGGAACATCTCTGTTCTTGACAAATTTCATTTGCCCCGCTGGCACTTGGTCAAAGCAATGCCTGGGAAGCAATTCCTGCAGATAACATAAATCACAGTGCCTGGCTTTGCTGGGTCCCCTCACTGTGTCTTCCACACTGCACATTTTGAAAGCAGTTCATGGTTCAGCCCAGCCTACCTGTGCCATTCCTCATTGAAAGGCCCACTCCCTTCTCCACAGCACAGGTCTCTCTTGATAGTTTGTTCAATTTTCAAGCAATTTTTTTGGTTTTTTACACTGTTATTTATTTGCCTTGTGAGAGAGCAAGAGGAAGATGAGTCAGGGGAGGTTTAGATTATATTAGGAAAGGATTTTTCACCCAGAGGGTGGTCGAAGAGTGGAAAGGCTCCCTAGGGGATTGGTCACAGCACCAAGCCTGGCAGAGTCCATGGAATGTTTGGACAACACTCTCAGGCTCGTGGGGGATTCTTGGGGTGTCCTGTGCAGGGCCAGGAGTTGGGTTGGATGAGGCTGATGGGTCCCTTCTAACTCAGCATATTCCATTATTCCCTGATTTAGTATAAAACAACTCCCTACACTCTTCCTGCAGAAGCCCAAGGCAGCAGCACAGCTCTTTACCCCCTCAGCACCACTCCTGTCATGCTCTCCTTGGTCCCCTACATTTCTGTGGTATGCACAGAACATTTCAATGCAACCAACACCTTCAGGTTCATATTTCCATATCAGCCTCCTAAGGAAATTAAACAGCTGAGCTTGTTAGCATAAAAACACATTCTCCATCGCTGTTTCTACTTATTTAAACAAACACACACATATCTGTACTAGAAGAGGTTCTAGAGAGGACAGAACCTACAGAGGAAAAAATTACCTCAGACAAATGCTGTAATTAGCACAATAAATAGGTTTCTTGCTAGAAATTCAGAATTTCTGATACTAGCCAAGCACAGCAGGAAGGCTGCAGTGTGGGAGAAGGCCACAAAGTGCCCTCACAGCCAGCACCAGCTGGGGCTGGAGACACTGCAAGGAGCCCAAATGGAGGCACAGCAGCCTGGGGGCTGGAAAGAGCCATCAGCAGCTGGAAACATCTGCAAACACAGCTGGGAGAATGTCGTGGTGAAAGGGGTGTTCTGCAGGACACGGGGGGTGTGGGTGACCCTTGGCAGGGTGAGGACACGGCTGAGGGAGCCAGGCTGATGTGGGGCCACCCCAGGGCAGGGTGACCCAGCTGAAGGGACAGCAGTGAGAGGGAAGGGCTGGCGAGGAGGGGCAGGGGGAGGCTGCAGAGACAGAGCTGCTGCTGCTGCTGCTGCTGGAAGGGCCCTTGGCTCGCACCCACCCTGAGCAGGAGAGGCCAGGGGCAGCCAAGGCCCCGGGAGTGGCCCCATGCACGAGTTGGGCGCGAGCTCAGCCGGGGCAGCCGCGAGGAAAGGCTCAGGCGGGCGATTCTTTCCTTTTCTCAGCACAAATTCAGCGTTCAGAAGCTTGGGGAATTTGACAAGAAGTTACGTAAAAAATTCCGTGACTCTGGTGTTTTGCACACAGCTCAGTTAATTTTTCGAATAAACTTTAAATTGGGAAAAGCGATGATTAGCTTCTTCATACTTGCTTTTAAAAAGTTTTTGCACAATACTTCTACTCTACTACGTAGGCAAAATCATTAGTTTTGGATTCAACTTACATGTGTTTTTACTTATTTTTTTTTAATAGATGAGCCTTTTGATTTTCCCAAAGTAAATGTTTCACTAAAAAAACCAACTTTTCTTTTTTCTTCCTACATAATTCACAGTAACTGTTACAACTACTGATAAACACAGATCATACACCAAAAAATGGCTGGTCAGGCATCTTAGTAATTACTCTAGTTGAAACATTCTTTTAACTTACAGAAATTATTTAGATTACAGTTAATCACATTTTTTTAAAGGACAGTAAATCTTTTTTTGATAAAGTATGTAATTATATCTTTATACAACATGAGTTTCTGCTAATTATGCAATTATCATGCAGAGATTAATATGACAGTCTGAACTGCTGGCTATGTGTTAAAAATACAGTATATGCACATACACTTCATGCACATATACTTCATTTTCTGTACAATCTCAATGATTTACACTCATGTCTCTGGGGTCATTTAATTTAGTACACAAAGGACTTGTGCAAGAAAACAAAAAGGCCAAAATCTTCCTTATATTCAAGAAGTTGAAGACATTTACAAATTGGAGAAAACCCTTTTTTTACAAAGTATTAGCAAGACAATATCAGCAAAAGAAAATTTATTTAACAACCAATTCCTCCTCCCTTCCCTCCCCTGCAAATCATAGTTCTGATGTCAGTTTTGGATTTGTTGAAGTCGCCCTTACCCACAAGATTAATCCCATTACTCCTAAGTACAGTAAAACCAGCCTCTTGTCACAGCTTTAAGACCTGTACCATGGAAAACTCACATGTACACAGGAGCTACTGAGGATCTGATTTCTCACTGCTGGTAAACACCAGCAACCTCTTTACACAACTTACACAGACACATTTCAGACCAGAACAGGAACATTGAGGAGTTATACTGACATGTTATCATGCCATGCAAGCCTTAGAAAAAGCTAAAATCTGAATCTATTCATTCTTACATTTTACCCATTTTGCACTGTATTGCAGAAGCTGAGGGGGAAAAGCAGGGGGAGAGGCAAACACACCCTGAAGTTAAAAGTTAAGGTAACATACAAAGTTCAAGCAAACCAAAAAAAAAAATACATATAACTATTCTTTGCAACCCCAGACTGAAGACTACTTCTTTGAGGGGTTTCAAATTGCAAGTCACAGACAAATAGCCCAAAATCTCTGACACTTAAAGAATCTCATACTGAAGAAACAAATGTTTCTGTCCAGTGGGTTCAGATGTCAGCCATCACCTGTCTGCAACATTTTTCAAGTGGCTTGAGTAAGTAAAACATGACAGATATCAAGAAATGATGGAAGAAAAATAGTATTAAAAAAAATAAAAATCCTGAGACACTCACAGCAATTATATTGAAGAAGTCATCATCTCCAAGGGTATCCAAAATAGATGAAACTGTCTGTTTGGCAATAGTCAGGCGAAGCCCTTTCATACTGCCACTGACATCCACTAAAATTACCACATCTTTTGGAGAAGTTGCTGCCTGGATATACCTGAGATGAAAGACAAAACTTCTTTTAAATACTGAATTGTTATCATTTCAAATTTCTTAAACACTGGCAGTCATCAATTGCCTACCACTTTCTGTTTCTGCAGTCAAATGCAATGACTCCATTCTCATCAGGTTCCCATTTAATTCCTGTTGCAAAAAAAAGAGGATAAAATATTAAATTAAATTTTCACAGTACCTGTGGAAAATGTATCTGTGGTATTTGGGCTAAGTGGCATTTAATGGAGTTTCATACTTTAATCTAACAGGCAGTGCCATCATAACATAGGAAATACTGGGGGGAAGAAAAGTCCCTAAAATAGGGCAACAAGAAATAATTTTTTCCCTCACTCCTCTTTAGTAAGGTGAAAACTCTTCAGGTCTACTATGTCCATTGCACTATTTTCACAAAATTCTTGCCATTCTTGGTCTTTGGTGCTGGCAAGCTTTATCACATCTTGCCAAGTCCTTTCCAGACCTTGAGCAGTTCTGGCCCATGGCTGGCTCCAGCAGCTGCCCTTACACTACCTGCTTCCCTCACAGGTCATACTCTGAATTTTCACTCACATCACTATGAAGAGGTAACATCATCTGGTTGTGGGTCAGGAGAAATATGAAAAAAAAATCTCCAAGGAAAAAAAATGTCAGGGGAACTCTTCTGCTTTTTACACTTATTTTCTAGCACAAAACAAAAATAGCCTTGAAAACAAGGACTAATATTTGAAATATCATGGAGCTTGGGAGCTGAAGAATAATCTAAAACTAACACAGATGTAGTAGCCATTACTCTCAGCCACTTTCAGACATACAGGCTTATAGTGAACTTGCTTGAACTCAAGACTTAGAGAAACACAGGTTGCTAAACCACATTAGCCAAAGGAACAATACCCACTATGAGCCTGGCTCTAAGTTACAGAAGCTGAGAATGAGTTTATTTAACCTCATAGTTTATTATAATGTGGTAAATTTTGTATAGGATTAAACATAAAACTTAATAGGCAACAATATAGGTTTTAACCTATTTCTATAGAAATAATACAAGTGATGTGATTGCATTTTATTACAACTGGTGTGAAAATAGACTTTCAAACAAGTTTTTTTTAAATTTTTTAATGTAAATCTGCCAGGTTAGGTGGAAGTTTAAAAATAAAACAAATAATAATGAAGTCCTACTGTGTGCATTGATAGAGCACAGAATTCAAGCTTAGTTCTATATGAAGGCTCTAATCCTCTTGCTCTCCTTCTCACAGCCTATTTAGAAGTTATTTTTCACATGTCTGTATATGTCTCTCTGAATAGACATTTTTATGAGTACATGAGTTATCATGAGGGTTTCACCTCCAAATAGAAATTGGTAGAAAAAACTCAACATTTTCAAAATGTTGATTGGAAATCTCTCTGAGAACTAGATGAAGTAAAATCAAACCTGCAAGTATCTGTGTCAGTCAGGATTTGTGACAATACTCAATGCAGCCATGGAATTCTTTATTGTATTTTAAGGACTTCTCTTCTTCCTACCTGGATATTGCCTGAAAAATCCTTTTGCACTTCCAAAGTACTGCCAGATGAGAGAAGGGTCACGATCAAAGTTATCAACAAACACCTTATTTAAAGATTCTGACCAATAAACTCCATTTACTATGGCTGGATCTGGAAAAAAAAAAATAAAAGAACACACACACAATGAAAAGTGATTTTGTTAAGTAGAATCCTATAAACTCTACCATCTTCAGCTTATTCAATACCCAAAAGTCTATTGACTGAAAACTATTGCAAAACTGTTTCAGTTTCCTTTGTCAAATAAGTGATCCAAAATAAATAATTCACTTAAAGAACAGAACAGAGAAACCTGGTACTCTTTTTTATATAAGTTAAAATTGCTCTTTAGAGCATCTATCTTGAACCACAACATTGCTTGTTCTGGAGAACATAAATAACTCCATCTAATTTAGATTATTTACTCAATGTACCTTCCCTAAATGCATAGAATGTCTCTTAGCAACACTTTACTTTTTTAAACATTAAATTTGGTAATGTTCGAAAGTTTTCATGTTGGAAGAGAAAGCAAAATACCTTTTATTTTGCACTTGAATATACATAAAAACACATCTCATTACAAATACCACTAGTTGTTATTTGGAAAACACTGAACCCACATTCCACAACAATTACCCAATTAGTTTTTATTTCCATAGAAAGAGAACTACAAAGCAAATCCTTGATGCTGAAACTGTTCTATTTAAGACAACCCCATCCATCAATCCCTAAGACCCCAGGCTGCTCAAGTGTGTCTTGAAGCTGCAGATTTGGTTCAACTGTGGGAAATGAGAAATCAATGAACATGTCATAGAAAGTTACTGGATTTCAAACTGTGAATTTTGAAAGGTGAAAAACAATTAAAATACAGGATATTCCCAGTTCAATCTTATGTGAAGTCAGCAGAATAGAAAGGAAAAAAACAGAACTGAAATCACAGATGCATTATTTAATTTGCAAAAGTGTGCATACATGAATACACAGTAACATTTGCTCAAGTATTTGAAATAAAGCAGCCATTAGCTTGCAAAATAATGTCACTGTTCTGATTTCAGAAGACTGCTTCAAATGTGATTTTAATGGAGTGGAAAAAAGGCAAATTGTTATCTTCCCCAGCATTCATCAAGAAAAAACAGCAGAAAAATGGAAATGTCTCAGCTACACAAATTTGCATGTTGCTTTCACCTAAATATTTAGGTTTATATAGAAGAAATGCCAAAAAAGCAAGGTCAACAAAACAGATCTTACTTTTAAAACACATGGAGTGCAGTTACTTGTTTCTCTAGAAGATGACATATACACTTAAAATCTGCCACACCAGACACATGTCAAACAAACTGATATCACTGGTCCAAGGGCACTAACTTCAGTCCTGCCTAGCTGGCAAAACCTTCATTGTCCAGTTTCCCAATCTGTAGTTACCACAATGATGAGCTGTGACCAAAACATCACAAATCAGCTCTCAAGACTGAGATCTATCATTGGTTTGTAAAATTATGCTCCTATGTCAGCATCCCAAAATGTCAGCCCATTGTTCAACATTACCTGAGATGTGAGGCACTAAAGTGAGAATTCTATTCCTCAGTCCACAGGAATTTCCCAGTACCAGTTCAAACACTGATACTCTGATTCTGCTCCTGTACTTCATATATAATGGAGTACCCAAAGCACTAAAAATTGCAGTGGCACTGTTGACTCAGCATCACAATCCTGAGATAAGGCAATAAGTTTAATTCATCTTTGAAAAGAGCAACCAAGGTCACTGGGTTGGGTTTGGGTTTTGTTCTTTTACATTTCCTGGTGTTGCTAGAAAAGTCTGTTTAGAGGAAAAGACAAGACACCATTTCTCAAGCCTCTAGAGGGCTATAGGCTCTTTATATGCCCTGCAGTCATCAGGATTTGTGAAAAGCCAAACAAATCAAACAGACCAATTCTATATTAATTTATATTCAAATAACCTGCAGTGCTTCTTAGAAACTTATGTTTGGATGTCATTCCAAGACTGCCCATTGTACCTTGGTATGTTACAGTTTTATCAGTTCATTGGATGTCTCCTCTCCTGGATTCCTCAGGGCCTAAATTTTAATGACCTTTCCTAAGGAATCAGAGCTCTAATGCCACTCATGAGCAGAACCCTCTGCCTCCCAATCCAATGACAATTTTCTTTGAATTCTATATGCACTCCAGCTCTATAAGGTTATGGCACAACTTCAGTCATTTACCTCTTAAGTTCTCAACCAAAGTCTTTCCAGTAGCATATAAAAAAAATATTTGTATCTACAAAATACAGATATAAATCACTTGAAATATCCATGGATATTTTAGATTACTTTTTTTAGACCATCTGAAGAGCCACTTAACATGTTTATATATCTATGTTACAGATTAGAGAACTCCATGGAAATAAAAATCAGGAAAATTTCCCTGAACGAGTCTGGTGGAGTCCATATTCTGCATTAGGCTGACAACACTAATCATCCAACTCCTGAACATTAACCCAGTGACTCTGAAACTAATAGACTTATTTTTTTAACTGGAAGGAGCATAAAGCAGGCATTTTAAATAAGAGGGCAGAATTAAAATGTGACCTATGCTCTCTGTATTCCTTCCAAATGAAAGCTGGTGATAATCCCCTGCCTTCTCACACCCTGCATGTCTGTTATGCTGGTTGTTCCTTTTACAATATATCAAGTTACATTTTAGGGACCAACCACTTCAATAAAAGAAGCAAATAGGGCTACAATCATTTTTTTCCTTGTAATACAAAGGAAAAGTGGTGTAGGGACAAATGTAGGCACAGAACAAAACAGCAGACCTGGAAGTCATGAGTGTCTGCTGGCTGCTGCACCTTCAGGCAGGGGATTTCACTCTGGATCTCTCTGTTCTGAACTTTATAACTCTGCTATGTGGGGGCATCTCTGTCCACATGCACCATCCCAAACACAGCTGCATTTCTGCCCATATGTCTCATTAAATCATCCTCTAATAACCTGTATGTTAAACTTGTTCTGGGCAATTTCCAATTTTAGTAATTACACAAAGCTGTTTAAATTCCCCTAGTACTTCATTTAGAAACAGTATCCTTAAGTTTTTCAATTACTGGTGAGCATCATCTGCATCCCCCAGATAGTTAAATGTCAATGGTAGTAAATTAATCTGTGAGAATATTCAGAAATTTGGTGAGGAAGAAAAAAGCAAGATAAACCTTAATATAAATGCAAAATCATCAATGTGATGTTATGGGGCTCAAAGATAATAAATGGAAATACCTTTGCCCACTGTTCTTGAAATATGATTACTGCTTTTTCTTCCTGGCAGATAAAATACAATAAAATATTCCCTTTCCCATGTCTTTTAGATGAGCTGGTTTGCAATTATATGGGATTTTGCTCCACCATTGTTTGTGTAGATGTTACCTGTTTGTACTGACATTTAACATAAATCCAGCCTCCAGGAAAATAAGTACAGTGACACGAAACTGAAATGAGATTGCCAAAGAACAGTACAAATGCATGTAGCAATTAAGGGGCTGTCACAGATCCTGCTGGCCTGAAAAGGACTGAACAAAGGCAGGGAAGGGGCACAGGCTAAAAGATGTGCAACAGCCAAAGGTAATGACTTTTTGTAAGTTTCACAGAATCCAGAGTATGCAAAGTCTATAGAACAAAACTAATACCAACACAACCCATTTTGCATTTCAATTATTGCAGCACGTTTTACAGAAAATAAGGGAAACCACTGAGGAACTCAGTACCTATGAAGAAAGTTCTCTTTCTTACCATATTCTGCTTTATTCTCAAGAAAAGATAAGTTTCTAAAGATCCTTAGCCTTTTCTCCCTATTCTATTCCTTTTGTGATATAATCATTACTTTTTTCTGGAAAGCTGTCAGAGATGCTGGCATTGGAAGTGATCTTCCCTCCTGTAATATCTGATAACCTCAGCAGCAGCCCTAAACTGCAGAGCAGCTCTGTCCCACCACAGAGCAATACAAGCACAGCCTAAGGGCCCAAGCACTGGAAAAGGAATGCAAAATCCTGCACATTTCTGGCTCAGAGATAGCAACAATATTAGCTTAGTTTTTATGACATTGACAACATATTTAGTCTGGTCATATTTTAAAGAATAACAAAATCGCATACTTTGCTGGGACATATACCAACAATCTAATAATTACCCTACTCAACACTAATATGAATGCTTTTCAGGGTGGTCCAGCAGACTCAAGAGCTGGGGCTGGATGCCAGTTTTGGCAACTGCCTTCACTTTTTTCTCTCTCTTCCCCTCTCTCTGACTCCAGGGTAACGTGGATGCATCAGCTCACAGATCAAAGCATCTGGCCATCTGCAGACATAAAAGAAGGTGTTTGTCCATTTTGCTTCATGTGCTGGGAACTGTTCACCAATGTCAGAAATCACACTCCCTCCTTGCAGGAATATGGGATGCTAAAGGCTTCCAGTACGTGACTGCATAAAGGCATAGCAGTGGGCATTTAGTGCCTTCATCTCCCAACATGGCCCTAATAACTTCACCCTCCTCCTTTGAAGTGGCAGCAGAAGAACTGGAGTTTGGCCAGATGTGTTTATTTTTATGCTGTTTCATGAGTGCATTTAGATGATGTTTTGTATTGTTTTGTGGTGGGAGGGGATGGTGTTCTTTTTCTGTTTGGGGGGGAGGTTTGTAATATTTTTTTTTAAATCAACGAGATGGACTGAGATTCAACTTTAGCTCATTTGAAAGCCAGAATTACAGCTGCAAACTCCTCACTAACAGCATTCTGGGATACAGATTCATTTCTGTCTCCTAAGGGCTTGCCTTCTCATGAGTTACAGAAAATGTCCTGCAGCAAATCAGTGGCAGTTTGAGCCCACTTCACCCATTTGGTGCTGGTCTGGCTGGACTTTGCTTAACTTCTCAGATATAACAGCTAAAAGCAAACAGTGTGGGGGCTGACCATTGGGCAGGTTAGAGCAAAGCTCTGGAAACAGCATGTAGGAACCAGCTATGAAAACTGAATATTAACTACTTCTTTAAATTAAAGGAGAAACTCAGAGCAGAAGTCAAGGGCATCCCAGAACAAAACAGAAAGATTCTGCTTTACTAGAGTGTTGTCCC